GGAGGTATTTAAAAGACAGGTAGATGAGGCGCTTAGGGACATGGTTTAGTGGGCATGGTGGTGTTGGGTTGACGGTTGGACTCGATGATCTTAGAGGTCTCTTCCAGCCTTAATGATTCTATGATTCTATGAACTGAATATCATGCTACTATATATTGGCAAAACTTGACTTTTGCTTGCAATCACAGCAATGAGACTGAGAATCAAATGGCTAATGGGGAGCGAACTCCACTCCTGCCCACATAATCATCCTTTGGGAAGGAGACCTGTGGCCGAGAAGCCTCCATCAGTGCAGCCTCCACTTTAGCTGCCTCATACTTAATTTCTCAGAAGCCAAAACACAACAGATTTTTCTTTATGTGAAAAGAATTAGTTAAAATCCATTTATGTAAAAAATTCATACTGGAGAATGAAGCCGCTTCCCACATGTACCAGCGTTTAACTTGCTTTGGATTTTCCTTTAAGTGTGCTAGGAAAAAAAAAAAAAGTCACGTAGCTTCCCACCAGCAGAACATTAATGCTGCCTTCACTCGCACAGATCACACAGAAACTGCTAAGAGATGGAAAATCATGTTGTCAAATGTTATTTCAAAATAGTTACATTAAAACAGTAACTAACAATACCAGGCAATTCCATCAGATTTCAACAGGACAAAACAACAGAAATAATTTCCAGTTGGGCAGGCCTGTAGGCTAGATCATCTGCAAGGCACTTGTTTGCTGCTCCTCATACCAAATGGGTATTTTTTCTGTACTGCCAATCACTATATTCCTCAGCACAAGGGCTCTGCACTTTGAAGCAAGGTCACACCTTAATGCGATGGTCATCTTTGTCAACTATTGTTGCCACTCTTATCAAGATGGGATTTCTTCTGTCCACAGCCTCCAACTTCATATTAACTTGGAATCCGTGAGCAGGACGCTGTAGGAGAGGATTGTAAGCAGAATGATAAGAAGTCTGGGCGTTCAGAGCTAGTCACCTGCTCTGAATAAAATGCGCTGAAGTTTTCATCTACCATACAAATGCCTTTGCAGCTTTGACCCCTGATGTCACACGGCAGACTGATTCAGAGGTTAGAATCAGAGTTTCCTAGCGGATTAAGCTGTCTGTTTGTCAGCAGCCCAAAACTACTTGAGAGGAAGTCTGAGCTTTCTCAGTACAGACAAGCATTTCACAGCCAGGACAAGAGGCACTTCCCTAACAGAAAAAAGGCCAGATACTACCACAAGCTCCACAAACACAGAGATTCCACAGCCTGACAGCAAAACTCCCAAACACAGCAGAGAGATGATCTCACATCTGAAAAGGACAGTGGCCAGTTCACCACTGTCTCATACCTGAACACCTGAAACACACCACTGCGTGATGTCTCTCTTCACTACACTATGTGACATCCTTCTTGGAATCTGGATATTACAGAGTCACCTTCATCAACCAGGTTACCATCTACTGCTTATGACAACAACCGCATCTGCTTGTTAACGACAACTGCCAAGAACTGCGGTGCTGGGACTCAAGAGCAGCTCCAGCTGCCGGAGTCTCCCATCTGCAGTTGCTGACTTACTCTTTCTCTTAAACCCCAGCGGTCAAACTACTTTGTAAAAACTCCAGAATGTCCTTTGACCTGATGCATGCCCTTTGCAGCACCCACAGATGTAAACCTCTAAGTAACAGACAGCGTTTATCAATTTTTCCATTTATCTTTAAATGACTGACTGCAAATTCCTCCTCTGACCTCTCAGCTGGGGGTTACGGAGCACTGGATACTCATTCAAAACACGTCCTTCACTTCTGCACACAAAGGTCAGGATTTTAGCAAGAGATGATAAATAGCGTCTTTGAACAAGACCAGGTTAATGAAAACATGATTATAATCACTCTTCCCTCACAATCTTCCTTACCCTTTTTACTGCCAGTAGTTGGAGGCAGGGAAGGAGGTCCACTTCTGAGCTAAGGGGATTACAGACTCCAGACCTCAAGTTTCTCTTTGGTCTTTTCACCTGGACACAGACATTTATCCACAGGCTTTCAGCCACACGACACACCGGAAGCCAGACAGTCTAAACTGCTTTCAGTTTTAAGAGCATCTTATTGAACCAGCCAACCTTGTCTGTCTTCCTTGAGGAAGGAGCCTGAGTGCTAGAGAACAAAATCCTGCCCAGAAGATGAGCAGGGCTATTTGTTTAAGTCTTGCTGAAGAGTTGCTGCCTTTTTGGCAATAGCTTATGAATGTTTTTGAATTGACAGCCCAAGACAATGGGCTGAAATAGTGATGCTGACAACCACGCTGTCTCCTCCTGCGTTTTTGGGTGGAGGAGAAGGCAGAAATCCAGACACAAGATCTGCTATTTGTGCTGATGATCAGTGTCTCCAGACTACCTAAGACAGCTCTTGAAAACTGTTAAAAACTAATTCAGTGAGAAATGCCTGTTCTGGCTCTCAACCCATATTTTTATGTACTGACTTCCTGTAATTGCTAGCTGGAATAATAATAATAATAATAAAAAAAAATCAATAAATGTGCCATGTATTTGCACTTCAGACCAGCCGAGCCAGAAAAATAACGAGGTTTGATCTTGAAAGAGTTCTATTAACTGTTGATATATCAAATGCCTTTTTTTTTTCCTGTCTCATTTTTGAAACACAGTCTTGGATGCTGATTTATATTCTGGAGTTTCATGAGAGCCAGAATTGGCCCTTCTACTATTCTCTCAAAGCCAGATACCTGAAGGAGCAAAACAATAGCTGCAGAGATGTACGTAAAACAGGAAAAGAGGCAGACAAGGCAGTTGCATTCCCCCTTGGGAAGACACTTCACTTTGTAAGAACCCAAAAAAGGGAGTTCTTGGTACTGAAAAGGCTCCCTGTCCTGAGCAAAGCCCTGTTATCTTTGGGTGACATTTCTCAACACATTTTATATTCTGAAAATCTGTGGAAAGAATGCCGTAATGACAGATTACTGAGGACTTAGGACTGGGAGTTTTAAGTAGGTCGTACTTCAGTGTTTCTTTTTGTATTATGAAGAGTTTTATTATCTTTCCAAAATATTTGTCTCTACAAAACTGCTTCTATTGTTCCTCTATTGTGTAGAAGACCAATTGCTGCATTCTTTTGCTCCTCATATTCTGAAGCTTCCCGTTTTCCAGCACTGTTGGGATTTTACAAGCACAGCTCAGAAAAAGGCTGAGCCTACCCTGGGGGCAACAAATGTGTCCTACTGACAAGCTTCACTCATTATCCTGCACACTGACTCCGAGGTGCTTCACATGCTGCACGGCATGATCAAAGATGCTGTCTGCCCAACTCTGGAAAACCTTAATCCAAGGGATGTTTTGGAGTTCAACTGTGCTGCAGATAACTCCAGCTGTGGCCTTACAGTTCTCTAAAGAGGCAAAACCAGCCTCTTCCTATTCCCTGACACCCACCTTGCAACCTACAACAACTTCAAATGGACACCTGCTGAAATCTAGCAATTATCAAATTTGTCTGGCTGGATTTTTACCTCCCTTATCTGAGGCCTCCCTGATTGCTTTTCCTCCTCAGTCCCAAAGAGCTTAACAACAAAATATACGGGCAGCAAGTATGAAACCAGGTCGAAAACAGGACAACCTGCAATGCTAACTTCATCGAAAGGAATCAAGCCAAGTGTCACGATGGCACAGAAAAGTTTTTAAACGTATTGCAAAGTTTAGCAAGGTGAGCCAGCAGTGTGGAAGAAGCTGCTAAGAAAAAAAAAATCAACTTTAAAGTATGGGGGGTTTTTTAAGCTATTTTAAAGGCTTTTATTTTGTTTCTGCTCACAGTGAGCTTCCAGATAAATGCACTGAACTCCAGGGTAACAAAAGCTCATGCTCCCAAGGTTGAGAGAACCATCTTCAGATTTAGTCTGCAGGATGATCTTACTCCATCTATGAGTTTGGCAGAGATGCTCTATCATCTGTTAGTATGCTTATTTCTGTGGAGGGCACAGCTGGCTCCTCCCTAGAAGAACTAAGATCTATATTAGAACATCTAAGTCCTTGATAGGAACTTCTCACTCTACCTTAATTCCAGCCTCACCGACCAGAGGAAGAAGGATTTGCGCAATTGCAAGGTGAAAATATTTTAGAGAAGTTCTTAAAACTTCATGTGGAGGGGACACCTGATGGAGGAACTGCACACTTCTCATTCCCCCTCAAACACACACACACACATACACACCCCCCACCCCTTCCTCCGTTCCCCACCAAATGTCGCCAGTTGCAGGCCAGTGATATCCACTTCTGATCCCCATGAAGGGAGAGTCCGGAAAGACTGTTCAACCAGCATCAGCTGTTCAACCAACTGCTCAGATGTCAGCTGGGAGATCACCTTTGCCCTCGCAGTCAGATCTCGAGCAGAAGACCAGCTCTTTCTCTCCTCCATGCCCTCTCTGAGGCAAGGTACTGCCCTTCACACATTCCTCTGAAAGCTATAATTATCTGTGTGGACTGAAGGCTCTTTCCTTAATTCTGCTAATGGAGCAAGTGAAGATGTTTAGTCAAAAATCCTTTCCAAGACAGCTTTTCATGGCATTTTTAAAAAAAGATCTTGTTGTCTGCTGTGTGTTTAGCAGCAGTGAGAGATGGTCTTAAAGTACAAACCCCAGTTTCACCCCCTTGGCACAGACATGGTGAACCACCATCAAATAAAGCATCTAGCAAGAAAGGGTAGATAACAGCAGTTTCCCCTACCCTCCTGATCTAGGACAATCAAAGAGATTCACCAACCAGTTTGAATGCTCTTGCTGGGGCTGCCTGGGAATTAGTTTCTTCCAAGTATTTCTCCCATGAGAAGGCTTTGGAATCCTTGTATCCTGAAAAAAACAGAAAATTAACATTTAAGTAAGAAAAACACACATTTATTGTTACAAACAACAGAAAAGCAGCTATGTAACACATGGCTATTATGTTAATTTAGCACTTACAATGGATGGCACTGGAAAGTGGTCTGTTTATTCATACATACCACTTACAGCACACACAGCAGCACTGCAAGTTTCCCTAGCTTCTACACAGGGCTTTAACCCTGACCTGAAAAACCTGAGGAGTTCATTTCTGTACAGCTTGATCAATGCTTATTCTCTAGAGAAAGCTGCTAATTAAGAGCTAGTCAGAGGATTCTGTGATGTGCAATGGCATCACTAAATTAATTTCCTATTTTATTAACTATTCTATGTGTGAGTGCCCACAAGATTGTAGAAACTTCTTGTCTCCTGCTACTTACCCATAGCTGAGTAAAACTAGCAGACTGGAGATAAAAGGCTCCATCGCCGTTACCATAATCTCAGACACCTCCACGGGTGTGGTACTCTAACAACAACGGGATGTCTCTCCCTGGAAGCTACATTTCAGAAACTGCTCTACTTTTTTTCCCTTCCTATTTCAGTATTTTTTAGCCTCAGTATTGTTTCCTTTTGGCAGGAGGGCGCAATGACTAAATGCATAGGACAGTCTGCAAATTGCTACACATAAATCTCTCAGCAGAGAAATCAGAATTGACTGCAGATTCTGCTAGGGCACAGGCAATCGTGATATGAGTAGGGGAGCTGCATGCCACAGCCTTGTTGCACGTTCCAGGAGCAGGAACAGATGTGGTGTTGCTGAAGAGTAAGCATTTACAACCCCTTTTGCACCTGCAGCAAAGGCACAGAGGCTGATTCCTCCAATGCAGAGGGGTCTTGTAGTGCCACCCACTCTGCTAAACTTGATACGCAGTAATTACAGAAATTCTTGCTCCAGGGCTGTCAATCTAGCAAACAGCAGACATAATTTTTAAATTTTTGTTATTTTTAAGGTGAACGAGCACTTCCAAGGCCTGAAAACAACATTGATTTTCCTGTAGGTTCTGTCCTTTTTCATTTGCCAACATTCTCTTCATTTACTGAATTCCAGTGCAGCACAAAGAGATGTGGCTTCAATTACTCCTTCATTTCCAGAAATTCCATCTTATCATCTATGAAATCATGATACCAATTCACAGAATCACAGAATGGTTGGGGTTGGAAGGGACCTCTAAAGGCCATCTAGTCCAACCCCCCTGCCGTGGGCAGGGACATCTTCCACCAGATCAGGTTGCTCACAGCCCCGTCCAGCCTGACCTGGAATGGTTCCAGGGATGGGGCATCCACCACCTCTCTGGGCAACCTGGGCCAGAGCTTCACCACCCTCAGAGTAAACAATTTCTTCCTTCTAGGTCTAAATCTAACCCCCTTTAGTTTAAAGCCATTCCCCCTTGTCCTGTCGCAACAAGCCCTGCTAAAAAGTCTGCCCCCATCTTTTTTATAAGCCCCCTTTAAGTGCTGACAGGCTGGAAGAACGGCTGCCCGAAGCCTTCTCTTCTCCAGGCTGAACAACCCCAACTCTCTCAGCCTTTCTTCACAGCAGAGGTGTTCCATCCCCCTGATCATTTTCGTGACCCTCTTCTGGACCCGCTCCAACAGGTCCGTGTCTTTCTTATGCTGAGGGCTCCAGAGCTGGACACAGTGCTCCGGGGGGGGTCCCACCAGAGCAGAGCAGAGGGGCAGAATCCCCTCCCTCGACCTGCTGGCCACCCTGCTTTGGATGCAGCCCAAGATACAACTGGCCTTCTGGGCTGCGAGCGCACATTGCCGGCTCATGTCCAGCTTTTCATCCACCAGTACCCCCAAGTCCTTCTCGGCAGGGCTGCTCTCAGTCCCTTCATCCCCCAGCCTGTGTTGATACTGGGGGTTGCTCCGACCCAGGTGCAGGACCTTGCACTTGGCCTTGTTAAACCTCATGAGGTTCACATGGGCCCACTTCTCCAGCTTGTCGAGAATTCCTCTTTCTTCCAACTCACCTTAAAGGAAATACTGCAAATACTTCAAAGTTCTTTCCCTTCTGAAATCAAATTCAATTACAAATTACCAAACCCTGTTCCATTTTTTGAAAGAGCTATGAAACAAAATAAAATGCAGTGGCAAAAAGTATGAACAATAATATTGTTCAGTCAGTAGAGAAAAGAGTATTGAATGGAACCTGCAACTTGCAAATATGTAATTACATGGAAGATAAAGCTTGCAGGTTTTTTGACTGAGGCAGGAAATAAGTCTCACTTTCAACATACCAGGTGGTGTTGTCAGTGGGGTTCCAGTTTCTTGGCAGTAGCCAACAGGACGAATATATGGGCTGCTAGCTTCACACCTGAATCAAAGAGGGAAAGTTGGCACCAGTCAATTTTAAAGCAAAAAGAAAAGCAGAATTTCAAATGCTGTCTGATATGCCTTTCCTGGGTTAGCAGATGCTTTCAGTGGGTGTGATCATGGTGTAAAAGACAAGCATTACCTCGTTAGAATTTATAACGCCACGTTTTCAAGGCGTTCAAGCTGCCCCAAAAGATAGGGAAATACAATGAAGAATGTCTGGTGCTTTAAAAAAACAACAACAAAAAGCCCCCCACACATGGACCATACCAACCACAGTTCAGCCTGGACATAGATCATCCAAGCTAAAATGCAAAGGAAGCAAAGAAACAAAAACCAAACCCTCGTCCCTAACTGAAACACCGTTACTGTGGAAGAAGGGGAAATTACTTTCAAGGTCTTTGCCAAGAACTGCACGTTATCCATTCATTCTAGCTGAAACCTAGTGGTAGTTTGCCTGGTTCCCAATTTTATTGCATGTTTAGATCTTCTGAGTCTCTGAAGGAGGAGATGGGCCAATTTGAGACAGCCCCTTTTGTCACATCTGCTCCAAGGAAGGGACCAAAGTCCCTTTCAGATCTAGGAAAAAACCTGTGTATTTTCAGCCAGCCTGTACTTTGAAGCTTTGTTTGCTTGTGTTTCCCATTAAAATATTCAAATTCCAAACAAAACATGGCGTGGAAACAAAGCTTCACAGGCTAAAATGGTAAAGGAACAAGATCTAAAGTCCTGAAAATGGAAACACCGGTGTTACAAAGCCCCGCATGACGTATTTATGGCAAAGAAAGAAAAGACCAACTTGCCACCAAGCAGGTGCCTATTCTGAAAAAAACAAACAAAGGGAGATGGGGGAGAGAACACAGACCACATCAGTGCTATTTTGATAAGCATGTGCCTTGTGAAAGCCTTGTGTTGCTTTCACAGACAAATTCAAAGAACGTTGCTCCATTCTCATGTAGGTTGGAAAACACAGACCGAAAAGGGAAAACGTTTCCCTGACTAATATTCCACCTGGCCCCAGCACGAGGGCAGGGGATCAAGATTCTCAGATGCAGAACAACTGTAGTGCAGGTCAGGACTTAAAAGGCTAAATGTTGGCAATCATTTTTATTTTCAAAGGGCCTTAGCCAAACTCCACTGAAGGAAACGGAAAAGATTTTTACTGACTTCAGTACTGCCTGCTTCCACATGTAAGCTTGTAGAGAGACATGCCAACACCCACTACTAGTCCTGGAGGAGAGGATGTTACTAATTCCAGGTGGTGTCACTAGTGGAGCTTACTCTTCCTTTAGCTCTGCCAGAGGAACAGATAACATGAACATTCCCTGACCTGACCCAAGTCAGCCAGCTGCATTACCTCAAACGCTTCTTACCTCGAATGCTTCACGGGCAGTTCAAGCTAACCCCACTGGTTTTGCACTGAGCCAACTGACGAGCACTCAAACAGTAGGGGAAGCTACTGGGCAACCAACACTTTGTAAAAACCCAAAGTAATTATTCAGATGCTTGAAAACTGATTTAAGATCCCACATTTAGTGACTACATTTAAAATATTAGATATTACCCTTAGTGGAAGAGTGAAATAAACCACAGTCTACTTGCAGATATATATTAGAAATAGAAGCTCTTTACCAGTAGTCATAACTCTCATCCCAGTTATCGAAATGAATTAGCAGGCGGTTATCCACCATGTCTGTGATGGTTGCGACACACATCAGCGACGGATTCTTCTTGTCCACTGCCTCTAGTTTCATTCCCAGCCGAAACCCAGAGGGTGTGACAGGCTGAGGAACAGGACATCAGGAAAGGGAAATCAGCCACATTCTAGGTCAGGCCATTTAAATTACCCTTATAAACTCATTTATTGCAGGTTGTAACCCCGAAACCCAGAGACCAAAACGCATCATAGTTACTAGCAAGAGGTCTACAGACAAGATTTCCATGTGTTCTGGCAATGATTGTTACTATTTCTAAAAAAAGAGCTGATGTAGCTCGAATAACAGAATCTCTAGATACACAACAACACTACAGATTCAAAGGCGAAGATGCACACGCCTTGCAGTGATGAGTATTGGCTGAGGGTAAGCGTGAGCATTGCAGGTCCTGTCTTATTACTGGAAAAGTTAGAAAGTCTTCAAGGAAAACAGGTGACTCAGTCGGAAGCAGAGCAGAGCTGCACAGCTAGGCCCCGATCCTACTGAAGTTAGTGCTCTGTCCATCTGCAGTGTCAAATCTGCCAGACGGTGGACTTTGCGTCATCTGAGTGACACAAAATGGGAGTGAGTGTTATACAGGAACTGAGGCTAACAACTAAAAACAAAGCAACAGTGGGTGAAGGATGAAAAACGCTCAAGATCCATAGCCTCGTAATGAATCCCATGGCGCACATGAGTATGCTGCTGGAAACCAGAAATTATTTTGGAAATGATTAAATTAGAGGGAAGTGACACAAATATCTTGACTGTAGGGACACAGCAAAACAGACCATTGTAATATATTTAATAAATGGTAGAGTAAATCTTTTCCTCCAGTATTAAGGAAGAAGGGAAATACAAATTCTCCCTCCGGAAAGTCAGTGACTGGGGGAAGGAAGAAAAATTGTACTATTTTCCCATCTTAAAAATAAATCACAGTAGGAAATAGCTTGCATCTGATTGTACCATGGTTGTACCTCTAGCATGAGCATCTCAAAACCATGTAAATATTCTGGTCAAAACTCACTTAGCATCAGACCTATTTGAAACATCTTGTATTCAATATCACCACTTACAGTGCTGAGGGTCTTAAAAAGGCTTTTTGGAGCTGCTTGAGCTTTGCAATTCTTTAAATAGGAAGTCCAGTTAAATTCTCCCTCCTTGAAACCTAGAAAGAGAGATAAAAAGATTGTTTTACACAGCCCCGTTACAGCCAGATTGGTTTTTCAGAAATGGAAATGACCTGGGAAGAATATGAACTTTGCATGATAATTGCCCTTTTACTATCTCCAGGGGTTATGAATCTCAGCTGAATACCTCTCTCTTGCTCAGTATAATGTCCAATCATTAATCTCAACTTTCACATGTTTCTAGGAAATTGAATGCAGGAGAGAAGCAAGTTCTGAACCCCAGAGAGACTCCTTACTTTACACGCTCATCCAATAAAGAGCTTCTAATTTGACTAACAATGTCAATCTTTGGGAATATCAAAAGGAAGCTGTTTTTTTCTTTTGTGATTCACTATCTTAGCTACACCCCTTCCTTGTAAGCCACTCAGATCAAGTTCTACAATGAAATCATACTACAAATGAAACATGTAGAGCCCGGACAACTAGCTCTTAGTAGAATTTATGGCTTCTTGTACACCATTCTGGTTTTTTTCATACCTTTAGGAGGGAGCAGCTTATGACTTGTTTTTTCACACCAGCCAACAGGATGGATGTCTGAGGAATCAACATTAACCCAGAAATCATAGCACTCTGGATAACCATCAAAGTGTAATCGCATTCTGTATCCTTGCACCTATAATGAGGGGAGCTCTGATTATCATAAAGGGTCATAAAGAAGTTAAAGAAAAACACTAATCAAACACTTCTTCCACATTTGGATTTATAGATAAAAGCAAATTTGAGATCTGACTTATTTCTCAAAAGTCTAGTTTTATTTTTCCTCATTTACGTCTCCCAGTTTCCATGCTCCTCTTTCCTCACTTCAAACAGTTGAAAATAAAATTGGTCAGTTTAACTTCACTGGCCTCCTATTCCGTACTCATGCACATATTACTGTGCAGCAATATCTGGATGCAGCCTGAGAACTTTCATGTCTATACCAGATCAACACAGATTTCACATAACTGAAGAAGCATAAAAGCATTTTGACTTGCTTATATTTACTACGTCTTAGGGCCTAAATGCATTGTTCTTTTTCATACTTGTTCACTGCATGCAATTAATAGGTTTACTATTCTGAGTTACAATTGCAGAAATCTGACAGTAGGATTTCAGGCATAGATCCTTAACCACATTCCTTCAGCGTCACCTTGAACTCCTCCTAACCATTAATTAAAGTACTATTGTTCTTATGTTTCTACTTTTTATTGAAAAAAATCCTAAATGTACATGGGACTTTTGGAATCAAAGATAGGAAGAGCAACTACCTCAGCCACTGTGAGAACACAAAATCGAGAGGGGTGTTCAGGATCCAGCCCTTCCAATTTCATTCCAACTTTAAATCCATTTCGGCCTTGTGGGAATGATTGATACTGTGAGGGTGGGGGGGAGAAGGAAACATTTGGTATTAATTCCTAAAGACAAAATCTATTGCAGAGCAGTCATCAGATATACTTAAGGCTTCAAATTTTCAACTCAGAGAAGAAAATTCTATCACTAAATGATTGCTGCTTTAATAGACAGGCGCAGATACAGAGATCAATAATGGCATGATCACCATATTTCAGATTTACTTGTTATTCTAATCAATCTCTCAAAAACACTGAACCACAAGCCTGTTGCAATTAGCTATGAACAAATCTTTCAGCAGATGCAGAAATGAGCTCTATTCAAACACAAAAGAGTCCCCTTCTTAGCCCAACGCAGGAGGGCTGGCAGAAACAAAGAGCCAGGAAAGCTAAAACCACTTTGCCTGTGTCAGCATGAGGTCAGCAATCCAGACTTTCTGAAAAGGTAACTTCTCATCTTCAAATGGTAAAAGGGACAAGGCATGTTTGATCTGGAGCCCGTTTACACCGTCATTCCAGAAAACATTTGTGTTTTTCATTTATTTGCAGTCTTAATCCAAATTAAACATTTGAAGTATACTAAGGGCTTAAAAGAAATCTGAACTGGAATTGCAAACGGCTTATTGCATCCACTGCAGTTACCTGACTTCCTTCTCATCTCACTCTGTAAGGTGCCAACAGCCCTTGGCTTTGAAGAGCTCACTGGGAGCTGAACTTTTCATGTGGGCTGGTGCACTGGAGTGCAGAAGCAGCTTCACCAAGGCTAAACTCATCCTCTTCCACCTTCAATGCATCAGACTACAAATGAACACAACTTCCACCCTCCCTCATAACAGTCACTTCTCATTGAGACAAGCTACAACATTCACAGAGCTGACTGACTTGCAGTTTTCTACAGAGGAAGGATGGAAGGGGTGGTGTACAACCACAGACAAAGCACAGGACATATGAAAGACATTAAGCTGTCCCTCTCCAACATTACTTGGAGATTGCCTAACAGCCCATTTATCCAGAGCTACCCAATGCAGATCGAAACAGTCATTGTTTATTTCTGAGTGAGATTCAACCAGCATTTTTCACATCCTGGTTTGGGATGAGACTCACAGGGCAGATGCTTGTTTCCACAGTGCTTCAGGGCTGGAAACAAACACGTGGGGATTTTACTGCCTGCTTGCACCGAAACAACTCATAAATGTAACTGCTGGCTTGAGGGTAGTCTCCAATCCTACCTCCACCGAGTTAGTAATTCTGTGATGTTGCCTGAGAAAAACATAGCAAGGGAGTTGAAAAAGCTGCCAACCTCTCTGAACAGTTTTAGGGGAGCAGCTGGCATCCGTTCCTCTTCTAAGTAGGAAACCCAGTTCCATACCTTCTTCTTTCCAGGAACAGCTAAGCAATCAAAAACAAAGAGAAAAATGAACGTTTCTCTCAGATGCCTCCTGCTCTGCCCTCTCTTCTCTTTCTCCTCCCACGTACACGCCAACGCTGTTTTGCTGTTGTACCCCAAAGGAGGCAGTGTTACCCAACTTTTGAGGAAAGGTATGAATTCCAGCAGCAGGAAAACCGTGCTCATTTCTCATTAAAAAAAACTTATTATATCACAGGTCAAATGAATTGTGGCACCCTGACTGCTGGCAAGCTGCCCATGGAAAGTTGCCACTGTAAAGTTTGGACAAGATATAATAACTTAAAATTGTGGAAAATAATTCCTTCTCCTGATATTTCACAGAGGAATAAGGAGTTAGATATAAACTAAAAGACAGCACAAAGAGGCATATAATTGCAGCTGAAATAAACCTAAAACAAAACAGATGAAAAACCAAGTGAATTTTTGTTCAGTTCACAAGATTTTTTTATACATATATACACATATATTTATAACCTGCTAATACCACAATGCATCTACTAGAGAGGCAGCTACCAGTACACAGATGATGAAAACAACAACTTGGGCGGGTGCTTGGATTCATTCTAGTAGGACCATGGTCATACACACAGAAAATTACATTTTAAATGCACTTTAAAAATCTCCCCCCAGTCTACACATGCTAACTCCTTTAAGGTATATAATAAACTTAACCCAAAGTCTATAATCAATCACATGTTGTTTACAACTTATTTTCTATTTAGCATTTGTAGTCTGTGGCTACGAAGCTCTCCAAAGTCAATAGAAAATATATTCTTACTGGCTTCAGTGAGCTTTGGATCAGGCTGTCTCCTTCTAGATCCTCTACGCTGTGCCCATCATGCAGGCAAATCTAGTATATTCTTGCTAGTACATTTCCGAAGACCGACTGTGGTAAGAGGGTTATGTACCTAATAAGCTATTCTGAATGTGAAATGAGCTCTACTGTCCTTTCCTCTTCTGTTTACTATTATTCATTTTATAATAGCTAGTAAAAAAATCTATAAACATTAAAGAAAAGAGACTATGAGCTTAGCTCACCTTGTTTTATTGGTTTAGTGTTTCTGCGGCTTTTCATATTATTTGATTTATTCTTCTCCTAGACACAGATACGTTAAAAAAAAGTTTAGCAATATTGTTTTTTCCTCCCTCTTTGATCATCTCACAATGCAGGTACAATAAGGTTGTAACATGTAACTAACAGGACTATTAGCTAGCATTATTTTCTTTTGAATAACCCTGCAAGAACATTAGTAGGGTATGTTACATTACATAACTTTGATCCTGCAGTATCCCAAAGTGCTTTACAAATTATTTAATATATGCTACTGAAGTTCATTTAAATATGGCTACTGAAGAGCAACACGGGCCCAAAATCTCCATTACAGTACACAGGATTTGCTTCCTGCAATGCAGGATTTACTGCTCACATAAGCAACCTTACTGTAATGCTCCACTTTCTTTTTCCTTTCAGAGGTTCTTATGTCCATCTATACCAGGGAATGGATACAGAAAAAAAATAATTTATGAAGCCCTGAAGGAAGCAGAAGCTTCAAGTAACTACTGTCATAGATGAACACCCCAGAAAACGTGGTCTCCCTGTGTCACACTCCTAGCCAGATTGCCATTCACATTTCTTCTACGTGGTTTTCAAACTCATGTTAATTCACCCAGGGTTGTCATTTCTCAAAGCAAACCAAAAAGGGCAAAATTTGAAATGCAAAGCTGCCTGCCAAACATGCCCCAGAAGAGACAGGGGGGCAGTTTCAAATGAGAAGGAGAAGGGGGAAGAGACAGAATGCAAGTCCTTCTGAAAACATATGTACTTAAATCATCTTATACACATCACAGGGAAAAGCTGAGCAACAAGATGAGTTAAAGTGTTCATGACATCAGAAGTTTCAGCTTGCATTACCAACGAACACCTACCCCAGCGCCTCTGCATTACACAAGCATGTGCAATACGTGAATATAAATAAAATGGTTCAGGCCTGAGATGCTACGCACATTGTACCAGAGTGCAGGCTTTCACAAAGAAGGGCCCCTACAGGGAGTAAGATGCTTAATGAAAGTTAAGAAAAGATCAGGTCAGGACTGAGGTGCTTCTATTCATCCGCCATTAATACAGGTTTCTAGTAGTGTAGTGAGTGTACATGCAAGTACCTAGTAAAAAGCAATCAAAGTCTGTGGTTTGACACTAATCTTCAATATCATATAATAGTACTTGACTGTAGTTAAAGTATTTTTGGAGGCATGTATTTTTATTACTGTGAAATACACTTGGCGCACAGGGCTATAACTACACCTATGAAGATACAGTCTGAAATCTTGACTTTGACTTCACATGAGATATTCACCCTTATGACTTCTCAGACTTCAGAACAGATATTCTCATTACTGATGTAAATCAGGATCAGACCCAGACCATTCTCATGGGTACAAAACAACCTCCCTCAGCTCAGTTTGCATTGCACAGTGAAATCTGAGACACAGAATGGTCTCTGCTCTTCACAGTTCTCTCTAAAGAAAATACATGCAGCCTCATTTACCTCATCCTCATCTGCATTTTCCTCGTCATCCTCAGACTCCAGAAGCAGCCTTCTCTTCCTTCTGAGACGTTTGACAGGTCTGTCAGCCTCATTCACCTGACAGCCACTGCTGGTATTAAGAGTTCTACTATTTCCCCTGTTTCTGCAATCATCTGGAATGTCTCTGGTATCACTAAACATCCAAAATTGAAAACAAAATCAAATTAAAAGTGCAACAATGCTCCTGCAGTATTCCCAGTGTCTCTGTACCTCTTTGGAAGAATGAGGATGCCTGGGCTGAGAACCTAAAGAAGTGAATCATGTTTGCAGGATTTGCCAGATATGTATCTTTTAAAAGCACTCCAAAGTACCAGCACTGCTCTCACCACCAGAGCAGCTCGAGAGGGTTTTTAATTTTACCTTTTTACAACTCTACAGGAAGTTAAGACATCATCCTTATCTGCAGGGTGGGGAACTGAGGCATCAAGCACACAACCAGCATCTCCGCAGGCTGGGAAGATAAATGAGGACCGAGCTCTAGAGAGAAGCTTTCCTCTGTCGGGCATGGGAGCCTCAAGGGTAACAGGAAGGTCATCGGCAGAGCTGTACAGGTGTCTCTGCTTCAGCCATGCCGCAGTAAAACTTGCTCTGAGGATTTCATTCTACTCACAGCAACACTTTTCTCTAACACAATGTTCTCTTTAAACACAGAACAGGAAGAATGTGGGGTTTCTTTACCTGTCCCTGTGCTGCTGGGAGCCCGTTTGAGTACAAAACTTTCCATTCTCAAAGCAATCCATTTGCTCACAGCTTTGGAAATGGGAGCAGGGCACGTCTTCTCTGGGCACTGCAGAAGCAAAGAAAAAGACAACTATTAAATTAAAATGTTAAAACACCTTTCATGCAATTAGTTCTGTCAAAGTCCTTTACAAACTTTCATTAAGTCACCCTCAGTATCCCATTGTGAGGGAAGTAATTATTATGCTGGCACACAGAAAGAGCGTACCACCTCACTGAAGAAAAACCCCTTTTATCTGTAATGTTTTAATTTTGGAGAAACCCTGCCCCCTGTAAAAGTGGTAAAGGAGGATATAATCTCAAGGCTATAACCAGGACACAGTTACAAATCTTTTTATATTTCTTTATTCCTAGAAACCCTCTAACTTGAAAGACAAATGTCAAACTAGTCCATCTTGTTTGGATACTTTTAATACAGTTGGTTAAGTTTAAAAACTTCAGCCTTTATATATACTTTGTACATATGAAAATCCTTCAGAGGCAGCCTCTAAAAAGAGCACGTTATTGATGGGAGAATAGAAACAATTATTTCTATATCTAGCAAGGGATATATATCAATCTTTCATCTGAATGAAAGCATGAAAATGTAAGAAATAACTCCAATGTATCATTTATGTTCACTTTCTCCTATGATTTGACTTCTTCCCAATGCAAATTAATGTATGTTTAATATTTTAACACAACACAACTAGTGATACCCATTACCAGGCATCTGCACTACCCTGATGCATACTTTGCTCAAGTAACCTGACGTGCAGATCGTGCATGGGGGCTCCTATGTATACGTCATTCCTGTTCTGCATTTAGTGGCACTGTTTGTGTGCACTGGTTTGATCAATCCATTTTTTAATGCAGCATTAAACACTTCAAAAGAAAAAAAGAAAAAACGCACCACATCACACAATCCAGAACGCTGAGATATGAGTCACTCTGCTTTTTGTTTAAAGCCATTTTCATAGTCTCCTCACCAGTACTTGCACTCATTCTGCTAAGACGACTGACATTTTTCATTTATATTTGATTGCTCCCTATAGCCCAATATGGATGTCAGATGGTGCTGGCTGGAATTGGGCAGATAGACTGCCTACGCACAAAGTGCATGCATGCTTGTATCACAACTTAAAGCCTCTCCCTGTGCCGTCAGGGACCAATGATTCCAGGCAGGGAAAAGACAAAACAGGGAAAACTTGCAAGAAGCAAGAGCCCTTGAAGAGCTCTGCTCAATTAGAAGTCACACTGATCTATGGAATACGCTTGAACTAAAAGGGTGTGAAAAATTCTTAGTGCTGAGGTGTCCACCTAAGAGATGGTTCTTCACCTGACGGATTGACATCTCCTCAGCTCTCGCAGACGAGGAGAACAACCCGCAATCAGCAGGAGCGTAAGCGAATGCCTGTAAGTGTAAGGGAATCTGCAGAGCTTACGATGAAATCCGAGATGAGAAAAGCCAGCAGGGAAGACAGGTACAAAGCCTCCCTACCCGAAAACAGAAATAGTTCCATCAAAATCCTGGGGAAAGCCAACTGGCAGATGCTTGTCCAGGCAGGCAACAAGAGGAGAGATCGTTCTCTTCCCAAAGAAGAAAATCCCTCCATGGGGGTGATTGATTTCAGTGATGTAGCCCTGCCTTGACTAGGGATCTGGCATCGCTAACGCAGACCTTATACAGAGTTAATGTCCTTTCAATTACTGCACCAGGATGCACTGGTGATGTCGAAGACAATGAGATACTGAACAGGCTCCAGCTGCTGTCCTGCGGTGCCTCTGTGTCCCAAGCTAATTCTCAAGTCTCCTGCTACCACCTTAGAAGAAGATCTGTTTCGGTACAAGGCATAAGGCAAACCTATCAAGGGCTCCCTATGCCACAACCACATGCTGTCACGTTTAACCAAGAGCATCTCTAAAATATGACCTTACGCTGGATGGCTAATGGTACTCTTGGGATGAGAGCTCTTAATCATCGCTCATCTCCCTAGCACTGGTCTCCATTAGTACTCTCTGGAAGACACTCGGGCACATCTGCGAGGGAGCTCTTCTGAAACAGGGAGTAATTTAATCAAAGGAAACTAGTGATTTACCAAAGTAAGTGAGGCTGGCCAGCTTAACCAACCGAGTGGTGTGGAATGAAAGAACTCAGAGGTTAACATATAAATACTCTGTTTTGAGCTACTGGTTTCTAGATAAACAGAGTAAGAACAGGTCTGCAAAGAACTGAGACATTTCTTGTCCATTACATTGATGTGCATGTCCAGTAACATGCTGGTATTATCCTGTTAAAACTCAGTTTTCCCCTAATTTCAATTACAGTAGCCTTGGAAACCTCAAAACTCTCACGGTTAATAGTGGCATGAGCCTGGTTAGAGGAGACTCTCAAGGATGTTCTAGCAAAGGTAACTAACACTGCTGGGGATTCATCCTGAGCCAGGAAT